TTGTGTATATATATATTTATATATATATATAAAAAAGCTGAAGAATCACATGTACATCAGTATTCACAGCCTTTGCTCAATACTTTGTTGATGCACCTTTGGCAGCGATTACAGCCTCAAGTCTTTTTGAATATGATGCCACAAGCTTGGCACACCTGGCTTTGGGAATTTTTGCCCATTCCTCTTTGCAGTACCTCTTAAGCTCTATCAGGTTGGATGGGAAGTGACAGTGTACAGCGATTATCAGATCTCTTAAGAGATGTTCAAAAAGATTTATAAAATATTTTTTATAATATTTTTTGTTTTTCTAGAGAAAGTCTTATTTGTTTTATTTCTATATATGTATATAATGCTTAAGGGGGCTAATAATATTGGTATTAAATGGTATCTAAAAAGTTAAAAACTGCTTTTATTTTAGTCGAAATAAAACAAATAAGACTTTCTCCAGAAGAAAAAAATATTATAGGAAATACTGTGAAAAACTCCTTGCTCTTTTAAACATCATTTGGGAAATATTTGAAAAAGAAACAAAAAAAAAAGAAAAAAGAAAATTCACAGGAAGGCGAATAACTCTGACTTTAACGGTAAATGCATCTTTTTCCTTACCCAGAACTCTCGCTACCAGGCAGAGGATTAAAGTGACAATGACGAAGGTCCAGTTCCACTGGTGCGGTCCGGCCACCGTCGACACTCCCAAAAAAATGAAGATAAGTGTGTCGCTCACGCTGCTCCACATCTTCAAGAAATACTTAGTGGTTGTGTGAGATTTATGGGAAATGTTGGCTTCCACGTAGGGTCTCATGACGGCACCACATGCGATTAACCTGGAGACAGAAGATGTAATGGTTATTTTAGGAGCCAGATCAGCCTTTAATATAATACATTTAGAAAGAAAAATCTTACAAGCACAGCACAATTCATATTTCATATTTGATTCACAATCCAACTTGTAACTTCAAAACACAATTCATAAATGCACAAATACAACTCAGAAATTTAAAACACAATTGATAATTGTGTTTTCAGTGTTTGAACTCTCAGTAATGATTAAATCACACTGAACTGAACTAAACTGAACTTAAACACTAAAAAACTGAACTACACTGTTCCAGTTACTATGGCCATTTATGTGAAGCTGCTATGACACAATCTACATTGTACAAGCGCTATACAAATAAAGCTGAATTGAATTGAACTGAATAAATAGACAAATTCTTTTCATTTGGGGAAATATTTAGCATTTTTACTTGAGAATTCACAAATTGTGTTTCATGTGTTTACGAATTTAATAAAATTTAGTACATGCAATAATTTTGAGGCTGATCTGGCTCCATACTTATTGACATGACAATATTATATATGTGGATTTTAACATCAAAAGTAAATGAAATGCATTCCAAATGAAAATTGTCAAGTGTCTTCTTTCTATAGAGCTTTATATATATAAAAATAATAATAATAATAATAATAATAATAATAATAATAATAATAATAATAATAATAATAATAATAATAATAATATAATAATAGAAATAATAATAGGAATAATAATATAATAATAGCAATAATAATAACAATAATAATCAAATAATAATAATAATAATAATAATTATTATTATAATAATAATAATAATATATTAATAACATAATAATATTAATATTATTAATAATAATAATGATAATAATATCTGACTTTATTGGACATATCCAAACATGCAGAATAAAAACTTAATGACAAAGTCAAGACAACAAATGTTATGCTGTTTTAACTGATTTTAATAAATTTTGTTTACTTTCTGTTTTGATAATTTAGTTTCTCCAAATCTGTTTGTAAAGTTTGTTTGCAAAAACAGTAATTGTTTTTGTAAAGTTATATAAAGTGTAAATTAATATTTTAGTCAGGTTGATTGATGTAAGTTGAGATGACTTGAAAAGTTCATTTAATTAAAAAAAAAAGAAATAAATTAAAGCAGCAAGACGTTTTTGCAGTGGCAGAAAGGTAGAATCCTAAAAGATAATGCATAAAATGTTTGTTAGACGTCACAAAATATTAAGTGATAGCTAGGTTTAAGGAAACTCTTTAAATCATTAATTATGTTTAATTATAATATTTTTTTATAAAATTGGTTACTGTATGAGTGTTATGAAGAATACCTTTATCTTTGAAAGTTTAACTATTCAAAATTTTACAATGAAACATTAAATTTTTTTAATAATTAGAATAAAAGCAAATATTACAATTGTGTCAAGTTAAATACATTTTTAAATGTAACAATTTAATAAACATCATCAAAAACGCCGACATAAGAGTGAATTTCCAGACGTACACAATTAAACCATTATTTTTTTGTTAAAATATCAATAAATTAACTTTGTAAAAGTATGCACAACTTGTAGACTATAAATTGGGAAACATGGAGGCAGAAACAGTTTTATTGTAATTTACAATATTAATTTAAAAATGGCTTATTTACATCAATTAAACCATCGCTAAACAAGCTAATTATTAAGTTAATAAATGGAAAGATTACAATTAATTTACAAATGAACATTAAAATATTGTTACAAACCTTATCTATTATGGAAATTAAATTGGCTAAATTATATTCTTTAAAGAATAATAATAAAAAATAACAAAATAGTATAATAATAGTACAAATGTGCCTAAATAAATTTATAAACATACGAACATTGTCATTTAAAACATTATCAAAGCAAGCTATTTACATGGAAATACTGTAAGCCTTATATATATATATATATATATATATATATATATATATATATATATATATATATATATAGTCCTTTTTTCTAGAATCATAATTCTCACAGTATTAAATAACATTTATACAATATTTTAATAACAGAGCGCAATATTAACAGATTTTAGTCATAACAGTGATGATCCTGAATGTGCATCACTTTCAATACTTAATCTGAATACATTCACATAAGCCCTTGAAAGTGAACATCTCAATTACCCTCATTTAGCACAATGTGTGATAAACTATTTCCACCTCCAGTCAAATCTCAAAGGAACAGGCGTGATCACGACAATGTACAATTACCTCAAATGACTGTTTATATGGAAATGAATCAATTACACAGTATTATAGGGGTGTGGTTGATTGTCTAATTATCTTTATCTGTAACTCACTATTTCACAGTTAAACAGCACATATAATCAGGGTTGAGAACGCAAACTTTCGGTCATTTGTTCCTCTTTTAAAGGACAAACCTCTGTGACAAAACTTCCTGTGATGGCAGCGAGGCGTTTCTTTAGTGTAGGAGTTCAGTTTTGCATAATAATGATTTCACACAGCCCATAAACAGCAATAATGTGCTGCTTGTGTCAGTTTTTTTTACCTTAATAAAACGCCAGTAATAAAGAGCATGAATAAAATACAATGAAAATAGTTCCTTGTCTCCCAAATTCAATTAAAGCAACATTAAAGACAAACAATTTTACAAAAAAAATTTATATTTCAAATAAATGCAGTTGCTTTTATTTAGTCATACACTTATTTCACACGGCCGGGATTTTAAAACATGAAAGTGAGCCTGCGGTGGAAAAAAGCCTGAAAGTATAGGATCAGCACTGTAAACATTGCAGCAACATGCTGTGTACTGAAAAACCTCCAGCTGTTGCCACGATTTAAAAATTCAGATATGATGTAAACATCACTTTAATATCATTCAGTTCAGTTTAATTTAAACAACTAAAAGCATGTTAGGCATCAAACAACATCGCAATCTCTTTCAGAGTGATATGTGCAAGTGTCCTCCTAGGTTTCAGTTCATGGCAGCAGGTAAACATTGTGGGGACGCTTCCCTGCTTCAGTCTATGTAACCTGGTGAGCGATAAAACAATCCAGTCCTCTGTAGCACACCCTCGTGTTGTCTGTGATAGTGTTGTCGTCAATAGTGTTGACGTTTTAAAAACGTCCAATTCCCGCTAACATTTAAGCGCGCTCATAAACGTCGCTGATTAGCCATAGTATTCACCAGTGCTCAACAGAAATGACTGTGATTGGCCGTGACGGTCATCAGCTCACTGCTCTTCACCGAGTGCAAACAGATACACAGACATTTG